TATGCTGGACACAATGGATGGATGGGTGGAATGTCATAAGAGTTGTATGAGAGAATGTGATAAGAGTTGTATGAGCCCCCAATAAAATTATTTTTTTTTAAAAAAAAAGGTGGCTTGAGAAGACAAAGTAAAAAATTATGATGATGAGCAAAAACCTGGAGTCGGAAAATCAAAAGGGAAGACCATATTTGTCGTTTCTTAAGCTAAAATAACTGAAGAAAAATTTAAGCCTCAAATGGCAATACTGAACGTTTTATGGCAAAATATTGAATCACACAAAAGGCCTGAAAAAGGAGGTACACAATCACTATACCAAAAATAATTGGTTGAAGCTCAACGATTTCAAGGGGTAAAAATTTCACTGCCATATAGTCGATTCTGACTCATAAAGTACCCTGGATTTCTGAAAGGACAAATCAATCTGTCTTCCCCAGAGTGCTCCTTAGACACAAGGAGGCCTGGGTGAAGTAGAGGGGCAGTGAATAAAAGTAAGGCCCTCAAGGAGTGGATTGACACAGGAGTGGCAGCAAAGGGCTCAACAAAGAAGCAATTGCATGGATGGGTCTGTGGTGTATAGGGTCTCTGCATGGTTTGGAACCGATTCAATGGCATCTAACAACAAAAACAGCAAGGAGGTCTTCTGCAGCAGATTTACCTAAATGCAACGCTTCTTTTGAACTCTTGACTGCTGCTTCCATGAGCATCGATTGTGGATCAAAACAAAAGCGAAACAAACTCACTGATATTGGGTTGATGCTGTCTCATAGCATCCCTCCAGGGATAGGACAAGATAAAACTGTCCCTGTGGGTTTCTGAGACTGTCACTGTTTATGAAAGTAGAAAGCCCAGTTTTTATGTCACGAAGTGGCTGGTGGTTTGGGACTGTGGACCTTGTGGATTTGCCACCAGGTAGGTGCCTTTGTGGATCCAAGCAAGACAAAATCATTAACAACTTCAACCTTCTCTCCATGATGTTACCTAGTAGCCCAGCCGTGGGGATTTTGGTCATCTTTACATTGAGTCGTTATCCATACTGAAGGCTGAAATCCTTGATCTTCATCCGCAAGCACTTCAAGTTTTCCTCACTTTCAGCAAGCAAGGTTGTGTCATCTGTACATTGTGTTAACAAGCCTTCCTTCAATGCTGATGCTACATTCTTCTTCATAAAAAACAGCTTCTCTGGTTATTTGTTCAGCATTCATATTGAATAAGTATGGTGCAAGGGTATAATGCTATCATAAATCACTCCTGATTTGAGTCCTGCAGTGTTCCCTCATTCTGTTCCCATAACTGCCTCTTGATCCATGCACAAATTCCACAGGAGCACAATGAAGGGTTCGGGACTTTTCATTCTTCTCAGGGTTATCCATAATAGTTTATGATCACACAGTGGAATGCCTTGACATAGACAATAAAACACAAAGAAACATCATTCTTGTATTTTCTGCTTTCAGCCAGGAAGCATTTCAATTAAAAACATTTTGATTGGTATTCCATCCATTCTTGGAGCTTTCTTTGAGTTAATGCTTTCAGTGCAGCTTGAACGTCTTCCTGCAGCACCAGTGGTTCCTGCTTCTATGTTACCTCATGAAATGGTGGTGTGTCGACTAGCTCTTTTGGGTACCGTGACTGTATATTTGTTCCATCTTTCTCTGACTTCTCCTGCATCATTCAATATTTTTTCTACTGATGGGAATTTGTGCTGTTTCCAACTTCTCATTACTGTGAACTGTGCCCAACAGTGAACACAGGGGTGAATATGTCTGTTTGTGCTAGGACGCTTAATTTTTAAGGATATATACCTAGGAGGTTGATTGCTAGATGCTATGCCGTATCACTTTCCAGAGAAGCTGTACATAGTCCAGGCCACACTGTTTGAGGTACCAATGTCTCTGCAGGCTCTCCAGCATTTGCTGTGTTCTGCTTTTATTTATTTATTTTGACTTGGTTGTTGCTGTCAGTATCAGGTAGTAGCTCGTCATTGCTTTGATTTGCCTCTCCCAGATGGCTAAGGAGCTTGGCCATTTGGTGATCATCTTTGGTGAATTGTTCATGCCCTTTGCCCACTTTTTAATTAGTTTTTTTTATTATTATTATTATGAGGTGCTGCAGTTTCTATAGATCTTAGAGATTAGTCCCTTGTTTGTTGCATCATCGTCAAAGGTTTGGTTCTTTAATTACTCTCTTAAAAATGGCTACTGCTGCACATAAGTATCTGATTTTAGTAGGTATCAGTCACCTATCTTGTCATCTACTACATGTGTTTCCTTCATTAGATTTGGGAAGTATGTGTCCACTTTGTAAGGTACTCGCTCTTTTCTCATTTATGCTTATTATAGTCCTAGGATTTACATTTTGCTCTCTGAGCCATTTTGATTTTTGTCTTTATATGTGGGGTGAGGATCGGGTCCCGTTTCATCCTTTTATAAATGGAAACCTAATTTTGTCAACACCGTTTATTAAAGAGACTATGTCTGTCCCATTTAATGTTTGTCAGCTTTTTGTCAATGATGTCATCTGTAGATGGATGAGTTTATTTCTGAGTTTGTTTCTATTCTCCTCCATTAGTCTATGTATTTATCATTGTGCCCTAACTGCCCTATTTTAACTACTGTGGCTCTGTAATAGACTATGAGGTCAGGACATGAGAGACCTCTTACATTGTTCTTGAGAAGTTCTTTGCGCATCTTGAGTCTCTTCACTCTCCATATACATTTAGTAATTACTTTTTCCATTTCCTTAAAGGAGAAAGTTAGGATCTGGATCAGAATAATGTATTTTTAGATTGCTTTGAGTGTTACTAGAATTTTCACAATATCAAGCTTTCTATCTATGAACATGGAATATTCCATTTTTCCCAATGGGAGAGATAATGGCTATTGGTTTGGTATATATTGCCTTTATTGTCTTGATAAATTTCCCTTCAATTCCTATTTTAGTAAATATTTATCATCAGGAATGGGTGTCAGGTATTGTCAGATGCCTTTTCTGTATCAATTCGTATGATCATATGGTTCTTACCTTTGATTTGATTATGTAGTATGTTACATTGATTGCTTGTTGAACCATCCTTGTGTGCCTGGTATGAATCTCACTTGGTCATGGTGGGGTTTTTTCTGACATATTGTTGTATTCTGTTGGCTAATATTTAGTGGAGTATTGTTGCTTCTATGTTCATGAGAGATACTGGCCTGCAGTTTTCTCTCTTGGTAGTGTAATGTCTTTGCCTGGTTTTGCTATCAGGGTTACAATGGCTCCATAACATGGGCTTAGAGTGTGTTGTTCTTTTCTGCATGTTAGAGTAATCTGTGTAGAACTGATGTCATTCTTCTCTGGACACTTGACAGAACACTCCCGTGAAGCCATCTTAATGCATTCTAGAAATGTTTCCATTTTGTCTAGGTTTTCAAATTTATTGGAGTATAGCCTTTCATAATAATGTTATTTTTTTATTTCATTTGGATTTGTTGTGATGTCACCCCTTCCATCTCCTATTTCTGGATTTGAACCTCTCTTCCTTTTCCTGGTAAGTTCACCAGTGGTTTACAGTTTGGTTAACCCTTTCAAAATAACAGCTTGTTGTCTTATTGCTTTTTAAAATGTTTTTGCTTGTTTTCCAATTCATTTATTTCTGCTCTAGTCTGAAATCTGCTATGATTTCTTTTCTCCTTGTGATTGAAGGATTATTGTGTTGCTCTTATTCTCATTTTTTTTTTTTGTTTTGCTTTTTGATTCTTTATTGAGTATATTTATTTTAGGCCTTAAAAAAAAAACAAAGCAAAATTTAAATCAGTATCTCTACGAATAGTACTAGTTTTATTAATACATTTCTAGTAGTATAAGATGTAGACTTCCTTTCTGGTTACTATGAAACAGTGGGCAGGGGCCTGGCGGAAGTTCTGAGTCATCATTCAGTGGGTCATTTGCTGCTTCTCCTTTCCTCCCAGTTCTTGTTGGTGAACCGTGTCCTGGGCTGCTTGCTGCATTTTCTCCAGTTTTTCCAGAGTCAGAGATGTTAAGGGTAAAGTTTGGGCTTACATAGCACCATTGTGGTTTAACTTCCTGAGACAGCTGCCCTTGTTTTGGAAGGACCTCCCGGAAGATTGACTCCATTTCCACCTTATCTTAATCGTAAGCTTTTTCATATGTGTCTCTTCCCACAAGGCTCACTCTTGTTCTCACTGTTGAAAATGTTGTATTAAGATGTTAATTTCGGGTTCTGCTTTTCTTTCTTTTTTTTTAAGTGTGTGTTTATTGCAATAAGTTGTCCCCTAATAACTTATTTTGCTGTGTCTCAGAGGTTTTGATACCATTTTTATATTTTCATTTGTTTCAAGGATTTTAAATTTAAATTTTTTATTTTGTCAATTACCTAATAATTTTTAAGCAGTATATTGTTCACTTTTCATGTATTTGTATTCCTCCTGCTGTTCCTATTGTTAATTTCTAATTTTATAGCATTGAGGTCTGAGAAAATGGACTGTTTAATCTCAATTATTTAAAAATTTATTGAGGTTTAGTTTGTGACCTTATCTATGATCTATTCTAGAGAATGTTTCATGTTCCCTAGAAAAGACAGTAAACTATGTGGTGAAGAAAGCTGATGGTGTCCGACTATCACATGAGATAGGATCTGGGGTCTTAAAGACTTGAAGTTAAATAAGCAGTCAATCTAGCAGAGAAGCAACAAAACCACATGGAAGAAGCACACACCCCTGTGAGATCATAAGGTGTCAACAGAATCAAGTAACAGGCACAAGATGACCCAAAACAAACAAACAAAAACCATATTGTTGAGAATTAGTGAGTCAGAGCAGAGACTCCAAACCCATCTGTAGATGATAGAACAAACCCCCTCACAGAAGGGTCACGTGGAAGGGATGAATCACCCAGGGGGCAGTATAGCATCAATGAAACACACAGTATTCCTCTGGTTCTTTGAGGCTTCCTCCCCCCCTACTATCATGACCTCAGTCCTGCCTTTCAGTTTTGACTAGACTGGAGCACGTATTCTGGTACAGATAAGAGCTCGGGACATACAGAATCCAGGTCAGATAAACCTCTCAGGAACAGAAATGGGAGTAGCAATACCAGGAGGGTAGGTAGAAGGTGGGGGAAGGAAGGGAGGAAGGGAAACCCATTGCAGCACACACACCCCACCCAGAGGTATGAAAATCAGAAACGCCGGTGAAGGGAGACAGCAGTCGTGTAAGATATAAAAACAATAAGGGAGAGCGGGGGGAGGGAAGAAATAAAGAGAAGTTGATACCAGGGCTCAAATAGAAAGTAAATGATGATGGCGGCATATGTACAAATATGCTTGATACAATTGATGCATGGAATTTTATAAGAGCTGTAAGAGGCCCCAATAGAATTATGAAAAAAAAAGAAAAGCATGCATACTGTGGTGCTGTTGGCTGGGGTGTGCTGTCTGTGTCTAAAAGGCTGAGTTGGTCAGTGGGGCTTTTTAGTTCACCTGTGTCTTTACTGAGTGTCTTTCCTGATAATGTCTCTTTTCTAGAGAGTGAAATATTGAAAACTATTATTATTGTTTTTTTATCTATTTCTTTCTTTAGTTCTATAGGGATTTGATTAATGTATTTTACGGGTCTTTTGTGGGGCACATACATGTTATTATGATTATGTCTTCTAGTTCTATTGTCCTTTTAATCATTGTGCAATGTCATTTTTGTCTCTCGAAATCAAATTTGACAAAAGTCCTTGTCCTTCTGAACTGTTAAAGAGTAAAGACATAACTTGGGTACTAATGTGTGCCTGGCCCAAGCTATGCTATTTCAACCACATTATATGCATATGAAAGCTCAACAATGAGTAAGGAAGATTGGAGAAGATTTGATTCATTTGAATTATGATATGGGTGAAGAATATTAAAAGTGCCATGGAATGTCAGAAGGGTCAACAAATCTGTGTTGGAAGAAGTATGGATAGAATGCTTCTTCAAAGCAAGGAGAGGGAGATGTTTCCTCTTGTACTTTTGACATATTATGAGGAAAGGCCAACCTTTGGAAAAGTACATCATCCTTGGTAAAATAGAGAGTCAACAAAACAGAGGAAGACGATCAATGAGATGGATTGACACAGTGCTTGCAACAATGAAATCACATAAAATAACATTTTTGAGGCTGAGGTAGTACAAAGCAATGTTTCATTCCATTGTACATAGACTCACTATTAGTTGAAACTAACTAGATACTACCTAACAACAAACAACATAAACACATGCCTACATACATACACACATATATGCATATGTATGTACAGTTATATACATGCATATATACACACATATGTATGTATGCATGTATATATGTATAGTTGCATGTATGTATGCATGCTTGTTTCTCTAGAGAATCCTAAAACTAGTCTTTTGTGAGTCACTATGGAATAAAAGCTACTAATATGTCAAAATAAAGAAGAAGTGTAATAAAACACCTAAAGCATACATTTAAGTGGCAGTGCCAAACCTCAGTCTTGACAATAAATGCAATTCAATAAGCATATCTAATTTAATTAATGAAAAAAGTACACTGCTTTAAAAGGACACCGTTGCAAATCATAGCCTTAAAATGTGATGGCCCCGAAACAGTGAAATCACCCTTTTTTACAGCTCTTTCTGCATAGATCCTATAAATTGTTCTATTTGCTTTTTCTTGCCTAAAGGCAAAGCAACTTATTAAATGACTTTTCAGAGTTCCTTCCATCTGTGATTTCAACAAAGCAGATAGAACATAACCAATTAAGATCAAATACACCAACTCTTCTGAAATAGTGTCATTTTTCCTTGCAAAAATAAATCTGAGAAAAAATATCCTTTTGAAAGATTGATTGTATTGGAGAAAATATCCATCACATCTAAAGACAAGTAGACATCCATCTGAAGTAAACACCAAATGAATTACAATAGCAAAAAAAATTGAACAGTCAGCTACAATAATAAATAATACAGCATCACATGCCAAATGTTTGCACATGTTAGAGCACTTTTGTTGAGAAAAATAAATTAGCCCCAAACAAATTATCAACTGCCAACTGTTTAATAGAAAAACAATAGAGTAAACTTGCCACAGTGTGTTTTATATACTCCACAATGAAAAAATGAAGATGCATAGATGTTATTATTGGAGGCAAAAGCACTGCACAAGACTCTTTATGTTGAAGATCTGTCATCTCAGAATATGCAGAAATGCAAAAGATCAAGTCAAAATGACTAGGAAAGAGCTATAAATTACTAAAACAAGTTTTTGTTAGAAAGGCATGTGAGGAAGAAACAACCAGAATCCAAAGCTAGGAAGTACCAAGATTATAACCAACCTCATTTGCACCCCAGGAACACATGAATATGGGATGAGTCTAAGTGCTATATATCACTCAGAGCGGACTTTGGACTTAAGCCCCATGGGACCCCCCCCTAAGAGTCATAGCTTTGCTTTCGAGAATAAGGAATTGCAACTATGCCATTCTGATTAGATCAGTGATTTCTCCTCTGGGAGAAGTACTTTCAAATAATGACATATCCTTCACAGTTTAGAAAGCATTTCAGCCTGATTTACCCTCCAATTAAAGATATGAGACAGGCATTGCTATAATTCACATTTTACTTATGCAGAAACTGAGTTTTCCAGAAGTTAAGATAGTGGTTTAAACAATTAAAAGACATAAAATGCAAGACATAAATCTGTTTCTTCAAAATCTATCTGGGGGAAAAAACAAAAAACTTCAAGAAGTCTTCAGCAGCAGCCTGTAATTATGAAAGGTACGATGCACATCAAGATGATGTGTGCGCAGTTGTTATTGATCTGGAGCAGATAAGACACATCGAATGTGCTGAGTGATAGATGCCAAAAAGCATGTTAGGAAGATCTATATGAAGAGCAATGCAAACAGAGATATTATGTTCAGGGAACCATTTTCAAATCAATATGAGAACAGAGGTTTAGGTGAAAAGCTATTAGAAAACCACATATCTGCTGTAAAGGTGGACTGTTGGCTAATGATCTACCTTGCAGGAGGGCAGGAAGCTACCTAGAGTCCAGGAGCATTATCCAAGGGCAACGGGGTTTTTCCATTTTAAGTTAAAGGACACATTGCTATGCATTTAATGATGAATGAAGTACAAAGAAATTTAGCGATCTGTCTCTGGTCAAATAGAAAAATGGGAAGTTTATAGGAGAAAGGATATGATGGGAGTGATTCACCGGTGGTTCAGTAGGAGAATTTTCACCTTCCATGAGGAAGACTCAGATTAAATTCCCAGCCAATGCACATCAGACACACCTACTGCCCGTTACTGAAGGCCTTGGCGTTGCTCTGATGCTGAGTAGTCCTCAGTAAGAGACTGCAGTGGAGAAACTCGACAGAGAGGTCTGATGAGCTGCTTTCAAGAATCCACCCAGGAAAACTTCATGGGTTACAGCAGTTCAGGGTGTTATTGATGATAGGGATGCCGCAGAATTGAGCATCTTCTAATTTCATGGTGCATGGGGTTACCATGTATGGAGGACTGGCTGTACTAAAATTAATGACAAACTTTCAGAGCCTTCATGCCAACAGGCAAAAATTGAAAAGTGAAACATTGAATACTATAGGAGACTTTCAACTCAGCATTTTCCCCTTCTGAATGACACCCTGAAGCAAAGGGGAGGTAGAAAGAATTTAATAATTTTATTTCATAACATGATCATTTCACATCTGAAAAATATGGTGATGTGGAAATACTGTTGATGTTGTGTTTGGTTGTCTCTAATAGTCTCAAACGTGACTGTGCAGAGGTTTGCTCTCTTTGCTGTCCTGTGTGGGTGAGAGCAAAGTTCAAAGCCGGCTAAGTAAAGGAGACAGGAGAAGAGCTGACTCCAAGGGTAAGATTGAGCCAAAGTGTACAAGCTTGCTCAGTCACACGTTGAAGACCAGCAAGCAATCTGATTACCTTTCTCTGTGGGTTTTGGAGAAACACTTTGACACAGGGAATGTTACTGCCCAAGTGGGGATCATTATAGCAGACACAAAAGGAACCAGCATAAGGAAACAAAATTAAGCCAAAGAGAATGCAGACTGACCACCGGGGAAAATAGCAAAGCATGACAATTAGACTGGGA